TTTGCGTCACTGGCTCCAAAAATCCAAGATGTCAACCAGGAAGTAGCAAAACCCTGGCTTCATTTTCTCAGTGCAGAAACCAACGGGTGACGTCACGGAAGCTACGTCCATCTTTTATACAGTCTATGAATTGGGACAGCAGCGTACTGGACGACGTCACCACCTCGGCTCATTTTCTCTGATAATCTTTACCGTGAAAAACAACAAAATTAAATGAAATACAAGAACACAGCTCTGCTGAATTACTTTTTAATATATATATATAAATAATATGTATACATGTCGAGGTTTCTAAGGTCGTTATACAATCTTTATTGAAGCCGTTAATTAGTTGACAGCAGTGTCTGATCAACAGGAGGAAAATATAATTGTGGCTTCAGCACTTCATATCAGACCATTCATCTTTGGAATACAGTTGAAAATTTTTCATTGCAAAAATACTTAAATAGACAAGAACTATATATAATAAATATACCAATTAATAAACAGGGTAATTTTTTAAAAAGATTTTATTTTGAAACAGGACAAAAGTCTCGTACAAAACATATCACAGATGAAAAACATTGTGCCTCTCCTCCTCCTGATCGGGCAACTTCCAACAGCCTGCTGACTGATGGAGCAGCACATGACTGACTCGTTTCTGCTGCTCCTCCTGAGCTCTGTTCCGAGGCTCGCTGTGTTTATTGGGAAGGACATGAAGCTGCTGCTGCAGAGTCGGTTCCAGAACAAACTTCACTGAGCAGCTACTATGTTATTTAGTGTCATTACATTGGCACACGCTGTGAGAACCGATGTAGAGGAAGATGCAAACACAGTAAATGCAAACAATACAGCAAAGATGACTGACCTAATGTTGAATCATTGTTTTATACCCAGAGGTGAAAACATTTCTGTGCAAAGCTGGTTTGTCTGTAGAATGCTGAGTGTTGTCTTCTGTTCGTGGTGTTTTTAGTGTCCACCAGAGGACAGAAGTTGGTTGCAGTTGTGATCACTCTGAAGGGATTTTTTTCCATTTCTGTTTTCTGTCTGTTTCTTATTTTATCATTTTTATCAGTTTTAGGTCAAATTTAAAAGAACTAAACCTCAACAACTGAGTTGACATCTGTCCTATGTGCTGACTGATAAACATATGAGACACTTTGACACTTGAGTATAGAATGGTGTCCTAATCAAGATGTGTTTGATGTCACAGGTGATTGGCAGGAGGACGAGAGTCTGACGGAGGAGCAGAGGAACGCTGGCAGCCATTTTGTCTGAGCTCAGCGCCGGAGGAAAAAATGAGTTCTTCAAAAAAAGTGAGAAACATATCACTATAATAATAATACTTTATTTTCCAAAATGTGGTGTTTATGGACAGGATCTAAAGGCACAACCGTGGTGAGGAGGGTGTCCGGTTTGTGGACCTCCACGTCACATCTCTGCTCTTTGCAGAT